TCTTACATGTGATAAACATAACCAATTTTGTGAAAGACTGAATTTATAATTATATAAATATGAACTGATATAATTTTGTGGAGGAGTGTCAGGAGAACTGTAAAAATGTGCAAAATTTTATCTGTTCATTGTATGTATTTGGGTTATGTATGTATAAGTAAGTTTGTATCTTTAATTGCTGAAATGCTTGTGATGTGGTTTTGGTTAATTGGGTGCAGGTGGATCTAATTACTGTGGTTATAATGTGTTGCATCTGCCTGCAGCCAGCAGCAGCCTTCAGCAGCTTTCAGCGTCCCTCAGCGTTCTGCTATTGCTATAGCCTTGAGCTTTTGGAGAAGCTATGGCGTTTTGGAGTTTGGGACTCTAAATGTTTTGTTTAGGGTCTGATATCTGATGCAAGATGTTTGTTTTCTTACTTTTGATGTTTTCCACTATGAATTTATAATAAAGAAAGACTCTGCTAAGCAATCCCTGTCAGGTACTGAATTTTCCCCGCATTGAAAGGGACTCCTAAGGGCCCATGAAGACAGGGACCATATCCCAGGCTCTCTCGCATTTTTACTGGAGGCACGCAAACTACGCCTCCAGTGAAAGAGGATTGATTCAAGACAAAGCAGGAAAACCCTGCTTTATCCCAAATTAATTTGATAGCCCATTAGACTCATGACTTTGTGAAAGGCCCAGGTCTAATGGGCGTTGGGCCCTATGGGGGATGCCCTGCCCCCCTTCTCTTAGCATTACATTAGTATGTTTCAAAAAGCATGCTGAAAGGCATAATGGTGACCAGGAAAGTTCTTAATTATTTTTAATGCTTTAGCAGGGGTTCTGGGGTGACTGGATACCATCCCGGTACACCTTTTTAGGGTGTGTGTGGACTTTAACCTGTGCCAAAGCAGGTTGTTTAAACCCTCTTCAGCATGGATTAAAGTGTTGTCTGGAAATGGCCCAAGTCTCAGAATGTGTGTCTTGGTGGGAAGGATTCTTTGCCCTTGAAGTTAATGAAGATCTTTTTGTATCAGCCTCTGGAAATTACTGTGCTACCTTTGAAAGTGATGGATGATGATGAAAGAGATGCAAATAAAAGAGAGAACAGGCACACATTTGCATATACAAATACATATCAGTGGTGCTGGAGTAGCATACATTGGGGAGAAAGAGTGTGTATTATTTTGCATATTCTTTTCTGCCCCAAATCTGTTAGTATAACAAATGGAAAAATAGATCTGTGGAAAATGGGGTACACAACAACCCTTGACCTGCTAAAACAGGGTAGATTATGTTTGATTTTGCCTCACTTTGATGAAACCCTATTGATCAAAATTAGGTATTAATTTATTAATTTCCTGAGAATAGTTCAATATAGTGTAGTTTATATGTTTCTTCTGTTCACCTTTATCTTGAAAAATATCTTATGAAATAGGCTAAAATATTTGGACCAGTAAGGTTCATATCCAAGGAGGAGTTTTTGTCTTCCAGTTAGTGTTAACCACTCTAACCGTTGACCTCATCAGATGAAGGCAGAGAAACATCTTCTCCCCACTTCTCTGTGCTGCTGGCATGGAGTCCTCCAGAGCCCAATACATGAGACAGGGCTACTTCTGGTGGGATTCCATGGGGCTCCATGCCGGCAGCATTGCAGCAACTGAGTCTAGAGGAGGTGAGTGCACACTTGACTCATCATAGAAGGAGCCAAAGAGGAATCAGGGGACAGCGGGGAAACATTGTGGGAAGGCCGAGGATGGACCCCAATGGTAGGGAATAAAGTGAGACAGTTCCTTATGCTGCTCAGAGATTTCCTCCACTGTCCCACATTGTTCCCTGTTTTACAAAGGACCTTCTGATACGGTCCCATAACACTGGCATGGGTATAAGTATCTCTCTGTGTGAGACACCAAAATAACTTTTTAAAGTTTAGGAAATTGTATCAATTTAGCCTTTGAAGCCCCTTTAAAACAATGTCACTGCCTTCCTAGTAAAACTCCCCCCCCCCAAAAGACCTTATGCAGTTCTTCATTGTGCTCTTAGCACCTCTCTCTCAATCTCTCTTTGTCCCTCAAGTGTTCTGAGTTTTTTTCTGAAAGATAAGCATCCATACTCTACTACTGCATTGTTCATGTCCCTTACATTCCAATATACTGTACAACTGATGTGCTGCTTCCTGGCTATGTTCTTGAAAACTAGTATTGCAATGTCTTTGCAACAAGTAGGCCCAGTGGGACAACAGTACTAAATGCACCTAATCAACAACCAGATTATATTCCTTGGTAGAATAGCTACCAAGCTACCAAGGTAGAAGTCAGACACAAAACAAGCACAGCACCATCACAGAAAGATCATAATGCAAGACAAAAGAAAGAAACAAACAAAAACAATCAGATACTACTATCAGTAGAAATCATTAATAAACTAAAGTTCAGAAGAGCTACTATGATGAAGTTGTTAATGTGTTGGAATATGACTCTGTGTTTGACTCTTTATTTGGATAAGGAAACCTATTGGGTGACCTTGGGCAAGTCACATTCTCAACAAAAGTGTATAACATTAGTTACTGGTGGCTTCCATCTCAGATGGGGGCGTGGAGGTGCTACTAGGTTAAGCAGTTTAGGCAACGCCTTTAAAATGCAAACAAAAACATGGAGCAGATTCTGTGGCCACTGACACAAAAGTATCCATTAGTCAGATTTTAAATAAACATGGATTTCATCCAAAGCACTAAAAAGAAAACAACTTTTAACTTGGAAGTCAACACGATTCCAAACAAAATTAACTGAATAGCACCAGATGAAAAGCTGATTGCTGAACCAGTTTTGTAACATCATCAGAACCCAAATGTGCATGTGCAAAAATGTTGAAAATCTATTGTGCAGTTTTTGGAGACTGGTAATTTATTTTATTTATTTAATACACTTGTATACCGCTAATATCTCAGCCTAAGTCGGCGACTCATTGCGGTTTACAACAATTAAAAACAATATACAATTTAAAACAACAACACATAGACAATACAAATTATTGGGCCACCAATAATAATACCATGTATCTCGTCACTAAAATCACAGTCCAGAATTCGTCATCCATAATTAACCAGTCCTTAGTCCATAAAATTCGGTGATAACAAACTAACCGAATGCTTGTTTACACAACCATGTTTT